CCCCAAACCCGTTGGACGTTAACCCGTTGACGTCAAACCGTTGGACGTCAAACCCTTTGCGAAGTCGAAACACGCTTTACACATCGTCTGTTGAACATCAAACCGGTGGGACGTCAAACCCGTCCCAGGAGCGCATTAACCCGTTGGGAGTTGAACACGCTGGACCCCAAACCCGTTGGACGTTAAACCCGTTGGACGTCAAACCCGTTGGACGTTGAACCCGTTGGATGAGGAAGTCGAACACGCTGGACCCAAACCCGTTGGACGTTAAACCCGTTGGACGTTAAACCCGTTGGACGTCAAACCCGTTGGACGTCAAACCCGTTGGACGTTGAACCCGTTGGATGAGGAAGTCGAACACGCTGGACCCAACCCGTTGGACGTCAAACCCGTTGGACGTCAAACCCGTTGGACGTCAAACCCGTTGGACGTCAAACCCGTTGGAACGTCAAACCCGTTGGACGTCGAACGAGCCCGTTGGATGAACCCATCAACCCGTTGGAAGTCGAACACGCTGGACGATTATATCAGAAGGTAGAGGGGCGGGAAGATCGAGTCAGGGGCATAGAAGGTCAAATGACATCACAGATGAGAGGCAGATGTTGACGAGCACCACATAGAGATAAAAGATATATGCATATATAAAGATCGATGAAGCAAGAGGAAAAGGAGCAAAAAGAAAGAGGGTAAAGAGATATAATATAGCTAGATCAGGTTCAAAATATCGGAGTTTTAAAGAGCATTATCCCATACAATAATAGGTCAGGGTTAGGGTTACAAAGAGTGAGAGTAGAGGCTGGGGGGGGGGGGAGGATGAGGTGGTCAGAGTCAGGGTTAGAGTGAGGGGTGTTCAGGGAGGTCAAGGTCAGGGTAACGCATTGGAAGTTGAACGCATTGGACCCGAACCCGTTAGACGCAAAGCGGTTGGATGAAGGCATTAACCCGTTGGATGTTTGAAGGCGTTGAACATCAAAGCAGTTGGAAGTCAAAGCGGTTGGACGAACCCATTAACGCATTGGACGTTGAAACGATTGGAAGTCGAAGCGGTTGAACGAACGCGTTAACCCGTTGGACCCAAACCAGTGGGATGAAAGCATTTAAAAGTCAAAGCCGCTGGACATGCCGGTTGAAGGTTATAGGGTTAGGGTTAAACAGAATATGATGGAGAGGATCGTATATACCGGTTGGGGCACGCCCGTTGAATATCGCGTTGGATTAGGGGTTTGCGTCCGGGAAATACGTCACGGAAGCGGAGGCGAAGGCGGAACCGGAAACGGAGAGGATCGTATATACCGGTTGGGGCACAAACGTTGAATATCGCGTTGGATATAGGGGTCAGCGTCACGGGAAATAGGTCACGGAAACGGAAACGGAAGTGGAAACGGAAACGGAAACCCCAGGTTTTCAGGGTTAAGGTTATGATGGAGAGGATCGTATATACCGGTTGGGGCACGCCCGTTGAATATCGCGTTGGATTAGGGGTTTGCGTCAAGGGAAATACGTCACGGAAGCGGAGGCGGAGGCAGAACCGGAAACGGAAACGGAAACCCCAGGGTTTAGGGTTGGGGTTAAACAGAATATGATGGAGAGGATCGTATATACCGGTGTGGGCACCCCTTTAATTCGCTTGGAAAGGGGTTGTTCCGGAAAATA